CAGGTGTAGGTAACTAGGCATTAGAAAACTTTCTTATTTGTAGGTTATGAAAGTGATCAAAATCTTTTGCACACCTGTCCTTACTGCACAGATTTCTCATGCTTGTCCCTGGGAAGAAAGATAGATTAGTGTATAGTTGTCTTTATTTTCACCACATTCCCTGGACCTACTGTGTCCCACTTATTTCAGTGTATCACTTCCCTGAAGATACCAGTATTCCTGAACTGTTCCCTGCAGCCAGTCACCAAGTGCTTTCTGCTCATTCTCTGTAACATTCTCTGTCTGAGACCTTTTCTGTCCTTCTGCCATTGCGTTAGCCCAAGCCTACTTAATTCACCATCAGTCCTGTGTTGAATGCAGGGACTGGAAAAATCAATAAGATAATTACTGCCCTTGGCTTCTAAGGACCTATAATCTTTTTTTCTTTTTTCTTTTAATCTTTGTTTTCTTATAGCACTAGTCTCCACCATGACTTCTGTTTATATTTTACTTTATATATATAGTTTCTTCTGTGTTGATCCCCAAACACCTTTTTTCATGCAGCTTTTTCCTTCTGGCACAAAAAGAAGGGTTGCCTTCCTTTTACAAGTCCCATCTTTGTTTGACTTCCACTTATTCCGTGCCACCTTCTCTGGCAGGGATGCTGCTTTTGCCACAGTTTCTTACTCTTTTCTTCGTGCCCATCCACCCTCATCTTCCACAGAATTGAAGAATTTCTATTATAAGTTGATTTTTTCCCTTCTGGCCTCTTCCTGACTCTCTGTTTAATGGAAAATAGTAAAAAAAAAAAAAAAAAATGACCTGGAGAAAGACGGTGATCAACACCAAGTGGCATTTATCAAGTGCTTCTGAATCCCCGTACTTGGCTGAATGTCTCACAACCATAAAGAGCACCATGTTTGCTATGTGCTCCCTTGTAGGTTTAAAAAAAAAACCATAATCTATAAATGCCTTTGATTGCCAATGATGAATTGGCAGTTTTTTTTCTCCTAAAGCGAAAGCACCCAAAGTTTGATAAGGAATTGCAAGTTGTGTTGTAATGCAACTGATCTCTTTCTTCCTGAGAAAGTCGGTTTCTCACCAGAGTGTTCAATTTAGTCCCACGCAACTTGAGTGTATTTATAGAGGGCCCAACGAGGAAAAGAATACTATCAACTCTCCTCCCCGGCCAGCAGACAATAGCAAACCATCACCAGGTGAATGCTAGGCAGCACAGAGAGTTTGGGGAGGCAAATGCCACTACATGTGTGATCGCCATATGTCTACTAGACTGAGAGACCCTCCTGCCGCTTGAGACAGCTGGATCAGGACTGATCATTCAGGAGTAGTTTTCTCGATGATGGCATGCCCTCAGAGATTTGGGAGTCCCACTCTGTGTGTGGAACATCTCGGAGACTGGACCTACTCCAAAGGTGCCTCTATGTTCTTAACAACACAAAGCTGTTAATATGAAAACCTGCACTTAAGCATTTAAAAATTTTTGAGGCCCATTAATGTAAATGCTTTCTTTATATTACCATATTTATTTTCATGACTATCCTATGGGGTAGTTGTTGTTAATATTCTCTTTTATAGGTGAGAAAGCCAACATTCATGTTATATGTGACTAAACGATTAGACTTGAACTTGAAACCACATCTTTTTACTTAAAATTCCATGATATTTCTCTTACTCTGCTGAAGGAATAAGCACCATTATGACAGTGCCATTGTCTAGGTCACTTGAAGTAACCTGGGACTAGCAGCTCCACGTCTAGCGTTTTCTTCCAAAGAAAGAGTATGATAATCCACAAAGATGCCTGCATAAGGATGTTTCAGTGGTATTGTTTGAGTAGCAAAAAATTGCAAACAATCCAAATACCTATCAATTGGAGACTTGTTATGTGAACTATCCTGCTTCCATACAGTGGAGGAGTCTGTAGAAATTAAAAATTATTTTGGAAAACACTGTTGTAATTAAGAAATATCCAGTCTATATTGCTAAGTATAAAAGCAGACCATGAGACAATATTGAAGTTCAATCCAAAAAATAAACACATGTGTGTATATGTGTATGGAAAAAAAAAGTCTCTAAGAATGTGTGTCAAAATGTTAGCAGTATTACGGTAATTTTCATTTTCTTTATTCTAACTCTCTGTACTCTATCAAATGTTTTTTAAACATTTCCACATCATAAAAGACAGTAAATGTGTTTGCATTTAAAACAAACACGAATTTTGAAGTAGATGAGGACAGATACAGCATTCAGACCATCCAGGTGCCAACCAAAGACCCCCAGAAGCCAGCTGAGCTGTCCCCTGCTCTATTGGCTGGCTCAAACATAACTAACCCCTGAGAGGAGGTGGCAGGAATATCATCTGTCCTGGTCAAATAGCCCAGGCATCATCACCTTATTAATTCTGAAAGCAGCACCACAGCCTTTTAGAGAAATGATCCCAGGGAGCGCCCCATGACCCACACCACCTAGGACTGCTTGCTTACAGGCAAACAGAGAGACATGTGTGCAGGTAGAGGTGGCCCCTAAGCATATGAGCTTCCCTGAATAACCCAATATGAATCCATCGTTCACAAACTGACCCACATATTTTGGAATTTATTTCTATATTTTGCCTGCCCCACCCTTTAGGGAAATGAGTACCTTAAATTTAGTATTTGATAGGCAAATTAGGGCCTCTCTTCTTCCAATTTAAAATCATCTCTTTCAGGTTTAAGGAGCTAGCCCCTGACTCCAGTGTTCTAGGATCTACAGTTACTGTACCCAATACAGTTGTATGCATTTCTCTTAGGTTTTCCTCCAGCCTTCATCTTATCAGACTCAAGAGGCCAATGATTTTAGTCTGTCCTTACATGCGTTTGCCTTCCTGATTTTCTAACCTTCATTATTTTGTTTCCCCTCTCCACACATTTTTCCTATTCCGTTTTGTTTCCCTTCATATGCCCCCAGCAAAATGTAACCCCAAATGCTCTGGGAACAAGGTACAGTAACACATGTACATAGCTCTAAAATCTGTCCCGCAACTTGAAACTAATTTCTCTCTTAGTTGCGAGGCAGACATTCCGAAGTTCAGCTTTCAGTGGGAAAAGAAGGGTCATCAAAGAGCTGTGAATGCTGGTCTGTTTTCTCTTAACTTAGAGATGTGCATGTGACACTTTATATTGTCTACTATACTAGGATCCAACTAAACCCCAAACTGAGTTTGATTTGAGAGGAAGAAAACCCAAGCCAATGAAATAAATGCTGATCCCAAATGTAACATGCGGCCTCTAAGGAGTAAGACAGCCCTAATCTCTCAAAGGCCAAAGGTAAGGCCATCGGACAGCTTTGCCGCATCAGAGACTTTCAGTCATTCCTTTACACACATGTAAAATCTGTAGACATTCTTCAGAAAATAACCTTTATTTCAAAAAATGGCTTTGAAGTTTGAAAATCAAAGCAGACCAGCTGTTTCTCAGCACAGAAAGAACTTTTCCTAAACTGTTAGAAAGCTAATAAGGATTTCAAAGGGCAGTGATAGCCTACTCTAATGCCCACAATCCAGGGAGGGCCAAGGTTGGAACAAGCTGTTTACTGCAACTTACACATGAACTAGGAAGCTTGCCAAGGATTTCTCAGTGTTTGCCCCTTTCTCTGTTTCTTGGTGTCCAGTTTTCACCTTGTCTCCTTTATCCCTTGCTCTTTTTGTTTCTGTCATTTCTATTTCTTTTACTTCTTTTTATAATATATCTCTCTCCCTCCCTCCCTCCCTGCTCCCTCCTCCTCTCCCCTCCCTCCAGTCCTCTACCTCTCTCCCTCTCCCTCTCTGTCTCCCTCTTTCCATCTTTTCTTTTAACCACCACCTCATTTCCCAAATCTGGCGTAACATAGACCTAAAAGCATTTCTTTTTTATTATTATTATTTATCATGTCTTGTGAATGGAGTTTTAGATTTGCCTGTTTTCTTTTTAATCATGAGATGAAGGTTTCTTTATTCCACAAAAACAAACAAACAAAAACTAAACTAAATCAAGAAGCTTCTTACTTGTGTGTGGCCCCCAATTGATTTTTTCCCCCTGTGGGTCAGTGGCCCCAGATAGAAAAAAGGTCCCCACCCTTGCACTAAGGGGTCTTGCCAATTTAATTCTTCTTCAGAAAAGGAGATGAATAACAGTATGGACAATTAGTTACTGTGGGTGGGAGAAGGAATTTGGCTGGAGGCAATTTTCTTTGGAAAGAGATAGGACACAGCACAAGAGGTTGAAATAGTTCTACTTGTGAAAAATAGAGGGTATGAAATAACTTGGTGGAAAGTTCAGCTGAGAACGGGAACATCTGGGGCTTATTCATGGTTTTTCAGAAGTTTTTGAAGCTTTTTTATTAGCTGGGTTGACCTCAGATTGAGGAGGAGATTTTTCAAATGTTAAACAGTTTTTTCTTTTGCATTCCTAAAGTCATATTGTGTTCAGCTTGTTAATATCTGCACAGGGGGCCTTCAGTAGAGGCTGCCAGAGCTGCATGCTTTTGGGACATAGTTCCCGATAGCTGGTATTTCCCTTTCTTGTTGAGGATTTGCATGTGTCCCTTTCATCCATGCATACAGCAGATTCCTCCACAAATAATTGCATTTGACATCACAGTTGTTAGAGAAAATGCTGCGGAGGGGGGGCAATCCCCATTTCCCCCTCACCAAGACAGCTGGAGGGAGGAAGCAGGTTAGACAGGGAAATAAATACGTAAACATACCTGGAATGTAATAGCAGGTAATTCTGTTTGTGTTAGTCATGATAATAACTTGCATGCTGGAATATCAATGGCATAGATTCCAAGCTGTCTAGGATTCAGAAAACAAAAAACCCCCACACATACACCACAAATTGACACCTAGCATGCCACTGATTTATTGTTTCTGACATGGGAACCATTTTCAGATGTGTTTATGTGGTATCAGAGGAGTATGTTCCAAGGTGCTTTCCCCCAAGCTTTTTCTAGAGAAGGATTAAAGGTAATTTATTTGGCGTTTTTAGTGGCAGAAGCAAGAGCATTCTGCAGGGAAGCCCTGAATCTGGCCTGTGACAGACTGGCTGGAGTGGTGGGGGGATTGTCATATTTCACTGGGGCAGAAATTCCTGTGTTTGAGCCCCTCGGAAAGGCAGATTCTCTGAAAGAAGTGTTTGTCCAAGGCATGACGCCACCGAGAAAGGCAAAAAATAATCTACCCACTAACACTATGGCCAGAAATAACTTTCTGTGTTAGAAATTAACCAGTACTGCCTAAACAGAAGCCCTCATTCTTAATGGTCTGCAAAATGTTCTGTGGCTAAAACTCTTGGAGGTAAGTCAGTGATTTAGATTTTTTTTCCCCCTTAACTCCTAGGCCTACAAAGATTTCATGCAAGCAAAAGAATTTCAACCAATTTCCAAAAATTTGACATTTAAAAATCTTTGGAGTTACTCCTACACAGATGTTCTGTGTTCTGTATTGAGTTTGTGGTCTGTGCCAAGCTCCTTGATTAACAGCTAAAAGACATACAGACAGTTCAATAAATCAACACAGTGCTCGAGCTCTGACTCTAAATGTTTATTGTTTATTTGGCCACTGAGTGCGAGGCACTCTGCTAGGCCCTGGGAAACTGGAGAGGCATGAAAATGAATCAGACACCGTCCCACCGTCAAAAAGCCTTTGGCCTCGTAGAGGAGACAGACATAGACACAAATAATTATAATACAAGGCAGAATGTGATTGAGATTTAAGACAGTTCCAAAGTGTTGTGGGAGCGCAGATGAAATGATTAGATTCAGCTGCAGGAATTGGGGAGGAATTCTTGGAGGAAATGATATATGAGATGGCTCCTGGAGGATAAATAGAATGCTAACAGGAGAGATCACTGGAGGCTGAAAGGACATCGCGGGCAAAAGCACAGAGGTGAGAAACTGCGTGTAGTATCTGCACATGTAATTCGGTGGAGAATGTTGATTAGTGAAGGGGTGTGGAGAGAACGGTGAGAGCCAAAGCTGGGAAAGTCAAGTGGAAGTACACTGGGCAGTTACTCATTTGCGTCAGAAGCTAGAGAGAAAAGCTAGAACACAGAATTTTCATTAAAAGTCTGAAGAAAGGCTGGGGCTGTATCACAGTGTTACAGCACATGCCGGGCACGAACAAGGTCCTGAGTTCATCACAAGCACTGCAAAAAAAAAAAAAAAATTTCTGAGGCGTGTCGTATCATTCCCTGCAAGCCACTTCCATTGGGAAACAGTATTAGCACCCCGCATCTGCTTTCCAGGGATCTACAACTAAATTAGAAGCAAGGCATTCATATACTTTGCTAAACAGAGTTAAAGAAGTAATGTAATAGACATGGGCACAGCCAGGGGATGGATGCAGGGAAGCACAAGACACGTGATTGGTGATTTATCATCTGTGAAGCCGACTGAAGCCTTGGCACCCTCCCCCAAGGGTTACACCGTTCCTAGACAAATACTGCCACAAACCGTGAGTAAACTTCATTCATCAACGTTAGTGGCTGGGAAGGACAGGGACAGAGGAGGAAGGACTGGCAGATAAGCAACTCATCTTTAGTCTGGAAAATAAGAAAATTAACTGATAATAAATCCCAAATAATTGGTTTTTCTCCTGCTTTATAGTAAATAAAAGACCTGTGCACATCTTGCTAAGTAACAGCTTGTGGAACAAAATAGAATAAGCAAGCAGACCAAATTTTCTTTGCTTTTGCAAAGTGTGACAAAAGGATGTTTCTCTGACCCCCATATAGACTCCCTAGGGGGCAAAAATCCCTTCTCATGGTGTATAAACACATAACTACTTGACACTTCCTGCAGCACTGCAAAGTGTTTCAACTAAAACATTTAATAATGACTCATTTTGAGAGCCAGGTGCTTACACATACTTATTATTTGGCCTGTAAGAATCTCATAGATGGAAACGATAGTGATTGGGTGAATCAGCGTTGCTTGCAGTAGTTTCCTTCTGGACAGTATTATACAAGTTCCCACGGATGGCCTTAGAGGGGCAGTCAAGGGAGTATGTAGTTTTACTACAAGAGAACTGCCTAAATCTTTTTTTGAATCTGACTGGTGAAGAGTCATTTTCCCAGTTCATTTCCATTACCCTATACTACAAGGACTAGTGCACCTGTCCTGTATTGAAAAGGAAGTAAGTGTCAGAGTGAGAACAAAATAAGGACAACTGGCTCATTCCAAGTCTGTGTGGGCTGGGAGAACAATTGCTCTTCCCACTCCCAACTCTGTTAAGGAGGGGAAAGGGTAGCCTCATGGGGAAGGAGTGTTAAATTGCAGCTTATGTCCATATCCACTTCAGCTATCATCCAGTTAATCACCCTCAAATAATGCCAAGTTCTTATTTAAAAAGTTTTCCAGTGAGCCTGTCTTCGGGGAGATGTACTAGTGAAGCCATCTGAGACACATTCACTCACCTCAAAACTAGATCAATAACAACCAACAGCCAAGGGTCAGGGCTCCAAAGGATTCCGTTTGGAGTAAGATGTGATGCCAATACTGCAGTGACTTTGGGGCATTAAAGATCTTGTGGCACTTCTTAAAAGAGTATTTGCCTTGACCTCGTTGGCCAAAGTTCACATCTGGTAACTGCATCTGTTGACATTGGCTTCCCTTGTCCTTTCAGCTGCATACAATATTGCCTGTCTAGCATCCTGTCTTCAACTGTTGTATAGTGTTGCTATGTGCTATTAAACAGCAATCACATTTCACCCAGCGGGCAATGCATGTGGAAACCCTTTGGGAGAAGTATGCTATAGAAATGTTGGATCAACAGCGTTTTTTTTTTCTTTCACAAGCCAGGAAGTGTAAGTGTAGGAAACAGATCCAAGCACTGTTCAGAATAATCGTTAATGTGTACAGCAGAGTAAGCAATGGCCATTTGCAGAGCCAGGTATGCCAAGGGTCAACAAGGCCCATTAGAGATAGGGAAATGAAAACAGAATGTTTTTTTAAAGTAATAGTGGAGGGTGGCCTAACATTCAGAATAACATATAAGGAATTTGGGGATTTGCTAGAAGGTAGATGGCTTCTATTTGTATGGGTCTTTGCTGTTTACAAAGTGCTTTTTATATACAAAAACGCCCTTAATTCCCATGAGCCTGTGAGGTAGCTGTAGCTGCTCTCCTTATTTTATGGTGCAGAAAACTAAGAGTCAGTGAGGTTCGGGTCTCTGCCTAAGGTCTCACTTCTAGCAAATACAGGATACAAAGAGAGATATGAATCCAGGTCTCCTTCACTCTTCACAGCACACAGTTAGCTCGATGAGTGTGTTGATTGTGCATTGATCAATAGTCTGGCATATGTTCTTAGGTATATTTTAAACATTGACCAGAGTTCTTAGGGCATTCATTTGTTTTTGAAACCTGAAGCTCAGGAACAAATTTTTAAAATGTGAATTGTGTCTTAAAAAATAGAAACAGACTTTTCTAAAACAGACTTCCCTAACGTGTCATCTGGTTGCACTGTACTGTAGATGCCAAACGTGTCACTATTTAGCTGCTTCTGCCTTTGGCTGTACCCCAGGAGACCTCCAGGCCTCGCAGTACAGTTCAAAAGAACTTCTCTAACTAGTCCATTTTCGCTGTCTTGTCCTTTCTGTGTTGTTGGATAAATAACAGTATTTTGCCACCGATAGAAAAGCAAGTATACATTGGAAATGTTGGAAGTGACTAATTTCGCAACGGGAGTAGTCTACTCGTCTGAGGGGTCTCATACACCAGTGTAGATGCATGGTTATAAGTTTGGGGTGTAGGAGCCCTGAGTGTGAAATTAGGTGAAAGACAGAAGAAATAACTCAAGCATAGTATAGAAAAAAGTTTAAATAGATTTCCTGTGGGACACAATAAAATAATATATATATTAAGAAAAATGAGAATTGTGGAAATGGAAAAGAGATTTCAAGAGAGTAGTAATTGAATTTTTAAAAGTGTCAGTTTGAATTTCACCTAGTTAATGTGTCTGTAGGCTAGTGGCATGGTTACAGGTGCTTGAATACTAGGGTAAGGAAGGAGTGTGGTGAGACACTGGTGGCTAGCTAGCTTCTCACTGGATTTTGACTCCAAGGGCAGATAATTTAATCCAAGCTTGAGTTCTTCACTTGTCACATTGACTAGCATAATTTCTCCCTTTTGGTCGAAGATGTTTTACATTACTGTATTGAGGTATAATTTACATTTTATAAAAGTCACTCATTATAAATGTACAGTACAAAGAATTTTACTGAATTTATAAAGGTGTGAAACTATTTCCCCAATCCAATTTGCAACATTTCTACCACCCCAACAAGTTTCCTCATGCCTCTGTTCAGTCACTCTGCGTTCCTACCCTAGCTCCAGACAACCGCCAATCTACTTGTGTTCCTATTATACATTTTCCTTTTCCAAATAGCTCATATAAATTGAATTACACAGGATGGGGTCTTTTATGTCTCACTCTTTTCATTTAGCATAATGACTCTGAGGTTGATTATGTTATATCTGTACCTTGTTCTTTTTATTGCTAAACAGTATTCCATTATATGGATATACCACATTTTGTTCATCCATCCACCAATTGGTTAACATTTAGATTCTTTCCCAATTTGGACTAATGTGAATAATGCTACTAAAAAATTCATATGTAAGTTTCATGTAGATATGTTTTTGTTTCATTGGGGTAGATTTCTAGGAGTATAATGCCTAGGTTTTATGATAAATAGGCATTTAACTTATTGAGAAACTGAATACCATCTTATTCTTTCACCAACAACATAAGGTTCTCTTTTATCTTATCGTATTTTACACATGGTGTTGTCGTTTGTTGATTACATTGACAGTCTTGTGGATGTATTGGTATCTCACTGTGCTTTTAATTTACATGTCCCTAGTGAGTGCTAATGTTAAGTATCTCTTCATGTGCTATTGACCATTTGTATATATCCTTTGATGAAATGGCTATTAAAATAGTTCTTATGGATATTTTCTAATTAGGGGGATAAATATGGAAAGAATGTGGCTATGCCAGAAGATTTGTTGAGCTCCCTTCTAAGGAGTATTAATTGGCCTTTGCTTAATTTTTAATTATTTTAGAAAGTTTTATTTGTTATGACTTGAACAAGTAAAGGATTGAAATGGCCCACAGTAATTCACTGGGCAAGATAGACTCTCCAAGGACACTGCTAGTCTTCTTACTGGAGCAGGACTAGAATTTCTCTGTTCAAAAGCAGAGGTAAAGATATCTTCAGCTGCTCTTGGTGAAATGTTATAAAGTGCTTTCCTATGCATTATCTCACTGAATCTTCAGTTACTCCACAGGATGCATTACTTTTATTACCTACTTTTTGCACATGAGACTCTTAACTGGTGAAGTAATTTGTGCAAAGATGATTGGTTGATAAATTAGTAGAGCTGAGTCTTGAACTTAGATCTCCAAATGCCCTATGATGAAAGTCATGCTTTAAGATTTAAGGTACCATGAGTTAGAACTCCCACAAAGCCCAAACCAGCACCTTCAGGATGTTGTGTGTGAGAATGGCTGCAGGGCAAGCTTTCAGCAAGTGTTTCCTCCCTCACCTGAGTAAATGGCTTTGCCCATTTTCCCTTGGCCCAGATGTCTGGCTCTCTGTTATGGACAACCTGATTGTAATCTGGGAACAATGAGGACTCAGAACATCTGCTGAGAAAAGGAAATCTAATAGATGTGATGGCATATTTTGATTGCAGATTATTTTAGGAACAATGCAGTTCATATAAAAACAACCAAACAATGTTTAATTGACAAAATGTTGAATTGTAGGTCAAAATATCTTGAAACCATTAAATGGAGAAATTAGAATATGGATATATTTACCACTGGAGAAGTGATTCTTACTGCTTTTTTTTTTTTTTTTTTTTTTTTTTTTTTTTAACCCGTATGGGGTTGTTTTGCTTTGTTTTGGAGACAGGGTCTCCTTATGTAGCCAAGGCTGGCCTCAGACTCTCAGTGATGCTCCTGCCTCAGCCTCCTAAGTGCTGGGATTATAGGCATGTGCCACCATGCCTAGCCTTACCCATAAGGTTTTAAGAAAGTCTTATTAGACAAGGTAGGTGTTTAACAGCTTTAGGTCATTCAGGCACATTTTTTTTTTCTTGCAGTATTACAGATTGAACCTTGGGCTTTTACACTGAGTTACATCCCCAACTCCTTTCACATTTTGTTTATATTGAAACAGGGTCTCCCTAAATCTCTAAGTTTCCCAGACTGACCTTGAACTTGTGATCTTTGTGCCCTAGCCTCTCAGAGTGCTGGGATTATAGGCCTGTACCCACACACCTGGCTCATTTGGTGTTTATCTTCCTAAGTGATTGGAAATGTGAGAGGATTTCAGTGTTTAATATCCATATGAAAACTCCAGATTGCTCACACACACTCAGTACTGCATGTGCATGCACACATGCACCCTTTGTTAGATGATGCACTATGGTTAGGGTTGGCAAG